TGAGAGTGAGAGACATATTTGAGGGACTAAATTTCTTTTAAGGGGTGGAGAGTTGTAACACCCACCAAAACCTTTTTTTTTATTAATAAATATAATTTTTTATTTATTTAATTTATTTTATTACATTTTATTTTATTTTAATTTAATGAAAAAATAGAGTAAAATTAATGGATGATTAAATTGAAAATAATTTTGGGGAAAATGGGTGAAAAATTAGGTTCTTGAGGTATTTTTGAAAAAAAAAATCAGAAACCGGAGATCAAAACACAATTTAGAAAAAAATTTGCCACGTTAGACGCCCGGTTAGCAGCCTCGACCAACCAGGACGCACTAAGTGACAGAGGCGCTGATGCGGGAGGCCACACAGGGGGAGCCTCGTGGGTGATCCGCGTGCAAACGATCGAACGGCTAAGGTCCGTTCCCGCGCACACGGACGACCTGGATGCACTCCCTCCCAAATGTAATCAAACAACTAGCTTAAAAGCGATCGGATGGCCCATAGTGAATCGCGATGGACACCCCAGATTAGATCGTGATGAACGGTCCAAATTCACTCTCTATTTAATCGCGATCAGACGGTTCAGATCAAACGCGATGGACGACTCATATCAAAAATGGATGGGTATAAATAACCTCCATCCGCACCAAACCCTAACCCTAGCCGCCAGAACTCCTCGTCGGAGAAGATAACTCAACCGCTGAAGAGCCGACCCCCAAAAAAGGTAAATATTTTTCCTTTTGCACAAAATTCAATTTTAAGCCCACCCATGACCAAATCAGAGTGAAAGAACTAGCCAATTGGCCAAAAAATACTGACGAAGCCCAGCGCTGCCGTTGCGGGGAATTTCACAAACCGCCTCCGATGAGACCCTTCTCGATTTCCGTTTTGCGTAATTTTTTCACCGTTGTGATCACTGTTTTCTTTTCTACAGGTTGACCGAAGCGAAATACCCAACCGCAATGTGAGTCGGAGGAGTCGCCGCACCGGAGAGCTCCGCCGCCGGTGAGTTTTGATTTTTCGTATTTTTTCGACCCACCGAGGCCGTTTAGTGTGTGTGCTTGCAGGAATTGATGTAAAATCGGCTGAATTCAGCCCAAAACGGCTGCGCTGTCGGCGACGGCGGAGTTGTCGTGTCGAATTTTTTAAATTGGCCGAGTGGGCCCTGGGACTAATTTTGGGTTTATTTGAAATATTTGTAGGTACTATAAGCGCGTTTCAATTCCCGAAAAAAAATTCAGGAAACTTAGGAACCACCCGTAGGCGCAGTAAACCGTTTAGCTTTTCAGCGTCAAATCGAGTAAGGACCCCTTACCCTATTCTCTATCATAGAATTGAAGTTTAAATAAATAATAATACGGTATTTTGTATAAATTAAATAAATGTGCATAATTAATTATGGATTGCTAATAGAGCCCGAACTGGACATTGTTATCTATTGATTTATTTTACAGTCTAAAAGTATGATAGTATCTGATTTATCTATTTTATGATTTAAAAACATGTATTACTGCCTTACCTGATTACTGTTTGATTTAGAATTTGAGACATGATTACATTACCGAATGCACGTTTATTTGTTTATGTGATTATGTTTGATTTGGTAATGGAGACTAAAGAAAAACAGGAAAGGGGTGTGATCAAATAAACAGATGGAATGACAGCCTTACTAGATATCCTAAAGATGGTGGACGGACCGGGTACATAGTGAACCCTATCGTGAATGTTATCTCATACCGGACGGGGTATAGAGACTTGGTAATTTGGTGTTCATACCGGATGAGGTATGGGGACGACGCACTTTACCCTCATACCGAATGGGGTATTGAGGTTTAATGTCTTGGTGCTCATACCGGATGGAGTATAGAGACGGCCCTGTAATTGAGATTGTTAAGAAAAATGATTCACGTGTAGCGGGGACACCTCTATGAACCCCCATGGATACTAGTAGGCTGGTGAAATGAGAAACGGTTATGATTTAGTTTATTATTAATAGATATGAATTTATGATATGTTCTATGTTACTGATTGTTCATGAAGTTATGATATGTATGGTATTATTATCTTTATAGGTTGTTTTCATAAATTTCAGTATGGTAAATGAATGGTAAATAATTTTATGATTGATAAACGAATTTGCTAAATTTAGTGCTTTATTAGTTGTTTTAATTTTATACCAACCTTTACTTCTGTGCTAGTGATATAGTGTGATATCCTTACTGACCTAGTGTAGTTCATCCTTTATTTAATAATTTCAGATCAAGAGAATCTGGTTCCAAAACCCGATCCACAAGAAGATTGCAAGTAGATGCTAAATACTCTCTATTTTCTATTACTTTTCTTATTTCTCGTGTTTCTTTCAGAGTATTCATTCCGTAATATTGTATAATACTTTTAAATTATTGTATAAGAGATGTAAAACTTAATCTTTTATTTTATTTCCGCACTTAAATTATTATATATTTTCTTTTGGATTTCCGAGGTCGTTACAATTATTATATGAAGCTTCTTCGTAGTTAGAATTAATGTAAATGCAAAAAGGAGAAGAAATATTGTGAAGGTAGAAATCAAGATAGAAACCTTTTCACTATTTCTAGAAGGAAAAAATTTCATTAACATGTTGTAAGATGATGACGTAATTTTCTTTACAATTTGAGAGAAAATAGCAAACTAATTTCTCACATACTAAAACGATATGTTCAAAAATAATTTATTCTTATAAAAAATAGTCGTGAACACTTAAATGATAAAAAAAAAAAATAGTATAACAAGAGAGTATGACAAAATAAAAATTACTATCTAAACTTAAAAAATAAAGAGAGAAAAACAAGAAATATTGTTCTAAATTAGTCATTTTATCATTCATCAAAGATGATTGATACAACTCTAGATATCATACTTCTTACCTTGATATATATATATATATATATGTCAAGTTTGTAATAATACATTGTATTTTTCATAATAAAAAAATCTAACTCAGAGTTTTAATCTATTGCGACTCTTCTAAATAAAGAAATTTTGTCATCATTGAATGTTTTTTTTACCCCAAAAGCATAATACTGAAGCAATAAAAGTTAATAACATATAAATATAATTTATCTAAAAATATTAGGGTTAAAGAGGGAACAAGATATGTTAAGTACCACAGTAGTCTTCTAAAGAATATCCAATCTTTTTCTCAGCATGGTACATAACCTGTTTAAGGAAGTCGTGATGATTAAGTGGCTTATATCGCAAAGGATTTTTATTGTCAACAAGCTCATCTGGCACACAAATCATCCCTTCATTGAATGTATACAATCCAACTGTATACCTTTCTTTGTCTCTATTAGCTATGACTCGATGAAGAGTAGGATGCATTCTGCCGTTACTCCATACCTAATTTATTTAATCCAAAGACAAAATATTAACAGTACCATTATATATAGATATATATTTGAAGTGGTATTTATTAGTGGCAGATATATATATATATATATAAATTTAAAGAAGAGGTGAACCTTCAATGCTTCGCCTGCAAGATATAAAAAAGATGAAGTTAAGGAAGGAATAAACAAAAACCAGTCACCATCCTTGGTTGATAACTCCAAACCATTAACATCATCTTCGTGAAGGATGGTGGTGAAAGTCTTGTCTCTATGGCTTTGAAGGCCTCAGTTGTTTTCATTGGCACCGCATGTTTTATATTTGTTGAAACGCAGACCATAACTTGTTGATTTTATGAGAGAATCATAGTACTTCTCTGTACCATAATACTCAAATACCATTTCCAACACTTTCTTATCTAATTCTTTTATGATGTTTACCACCTTATATTCAGTTTCCCTGAATACAAATTAAAAAATAAAATAAATTCAAATTTATTATAGTGCACTTCAAAGTTGAACAAAGGAAAATTTTTAGATGTTTTTACAATTTTTATAACTCATCCTACTTTTATATTTATACTCTAAGTAGAATACATGATATATAATTACCTTTTTTCTGAGTAATTATAGAATTTAAGATATTTTCAATAATTAGATGTATTTACAACACACAATTTATCTCAAATCTATAATTTTATGAAATGAATGAAAATACCAATTATTTAGAAGAGGGACATTAAAAACTAAACAAAGGATTTAACAAATGATGTATTTATATATACCCGAACTGTTGGTTTCCGTCAGGCCACATGAGGGTGATGAAGTTTTGAACACCTTGTAGAGTATCTGCGTTATCAATGCCTAGTCCTTCATGGAACTGGCTACCAGAGTAGTACTCAAGAGCAGGCTTGTTACTTGGATTTTTTTTTCTTGATTTCTGTGGGAAGATCGTAAAGTTCTTTGACTACATCAAATATTTCCTTATGAAGATTAGGATGAAACTTATCATGACCGTAAATGGCTTCGAAACAGCCGTGCTCTTCGAGAGCATTGCAGACTTGTTGGCATGTAGAGAACCATAAACTGGTGCCTGGCTCTAGATCTACCACAGATAAATCTACCATGGGAATTTTCGATAAGGTGGTAGCCATTGTTTTCTTCTTCTTTGAGTTAGAGCAAATTGTTATCTGCTTGTAAATAATCCATTTGCGTTTAGAAATTCGGATGCTATTTATAGAGGTGTATACCAAGAGAGAGATGGACTCTATATATATATTTGTACATATATATTTTTTACAAGTAGTTCTATTTAAATAAATCATCCAAGTGAAATACATAAGATTCAAAAAATAAAAAACTTGCATGAAATAAATTATAATTGTAGACCGTTTAAAGATATTTTTCTTCGCATTAAAAATTTAATTTTTATTTTTGTTTTTTCTAAATTTTTTTATATATTACATTATACTAAAAAAATAACGGATTATCTACTAAGTTACAGCCAGGTTTGAGTATATTTCTTATGTTTACATCAACCTTGCAATCAGCTTCTTCACTTGCTAATTAATTTCTTTTTTTGAATTTCCTCTTATATTATAAAAATTCTATACTCTTAATATTTTCAAAAAGAATGTGGCACTAAATAATTTTTTAAAATATATATATATACATATTAATAGAAATATCCTTATCTGGTATCTTAATTTAATTGATAATTTACAAAAAAAAAAAATTAAATTGACTAATAAAAATTTATATTTAAATTGACTAATTATTATATATAAAATAAAATAAAATAAATGCAAAGATCTAACTCCCAAAAATAACTTACATCGTACTAGATAAATAATATTCTCAATAAATTTATTTATTAATTTTATATTAAATTAATTAATAATTTTAAATATTTGTAGAATCAATATAATAATATTTTATTTTTTTCTAAATATACATATTTATGGTAATTATTTATTTAAATTTTTTATTATTTTTAAAACAAGCATCCATCTTTTTTTTTAAGGCAAAAATGAACATGTACGTATCTTTTAATAAAACAAACATGTATTTTTTTAATTGGTAATTATTCAAATAAGTATCTTTCCTTTTTCTTTAAAAAAGTCTATAAACACGAAATTTTGAAACGTTTGCTTATGTTCTACATGAACTAGATACGTACATATTTGTATATATATATATATATATATATATGTAGATATGTAGTGATATTCTGATTAAAAATACATATTGTCCTTCTCTCTTTAAATTCTCAAAAAAAGGTATTATCATATACTAATTTTCTTCATTTTAAGAAATTATTTGATCTCAGACACTATTTTTTTAAAGAAATTTTTAATGCCTAAAATACTGATTCATGTGTCGGATACCTTGTTCGTGAAATAGATCCATCATATATATATATATATATATATATATCTGATTTGACTGTTGATCTTCTCATCACTGAGTGCAAGTAAGTTCCATCCTTGAAAATCTCCATGATCTTTAACTGAATCTCCTTGATCTTTAATCAGTGATTGAAATGTTGCTTCTCTTTTTGCCGAAATCTATATCATACAGAGCCACTGAAGTATATAAATCATTATCATATATAAATTATTCCATAATTAGAAAGTTGGTGCCAAAATATTTACCACAAGCAATCATCTTGTTTATTAAACATTCCAGAAACTTATTTTCATATAATTTTAAAAATTAAAGATGAACTAAAATATGTCAATTTATTTACATTTTTTTATGTAAATAATTATACCATATAAATACGAATAATAGTAATATTTGATACAATTTATAGAAATAGGAAGATGTTGCCTACAATTACCATTCTATCCATTCTACTTGTATAGATTAAAACCGGATAATCAAATAGCGGTTACCAACAAGTTAAAAATGTGACGAAAGCACTCGAAGAGCATGATCATTTTATATTACAGTATGATCCAGTTCGGATACAGCTTTATAGTCAAGTGTTTAGTGCTTGAGTGCCTTCAAAGAATTGTTTGATTTACCCACTGAAACCAAAATGAAAGATTAGCATGACAAGCCCTTAAATGGTTCTGTTGGTCAAATTCCTGCAATCTTTCTGCACGAGAGTTGGGGTATTGACAATACAACAACTCTCCAAGGAACTCAAATTTTCGCTATAACAATTTGGCCTGCTGGCAATGACCGCTTCAGGTATATATGCATACTCAATCAACTAAGCTCTTCTTTTCCTTTTTCACATATTATGATTCATTTGTATGCATAATTTATCGATTGTTACTTGGCTAGATGATTTGTATTTCTAGCAATTTTCATAAAGATGTGGGTTCGAACTATAAGTTATGCTTCTCTTCTGTCCTCATGAGAAGATTGTATCATGTGCAGGAATAGCTAATATGAGAGAAAGACTAGACAGAGGGGTAACATCACCAGCATGGATCAGCGTTCTCAAATCATTCCCTGTTCTGAAAAATGTGGCTAAGGGACTTTGCAATAGAGTGGTGGAAACTGCCTGGATGAAGGAATAATAACAGGTTCAAAAGCATACATATATTGTCAAAAAGTATAAAATGCAAGAAAAGCCCTAATTCGGTGGAACAAACAATACTTCGGAGATGTTCTTATAAACTGAGAAATTTAGAAAGAAATAAATGTTTTTCAGCAAAAAGTACTAAGTCATAAAATTTAGAAACGGAAGCTTCTTTATAGCTAGAATTGATAGAAATGCGAAAGAACAAAAGAAATATTGTGGAGGTAGAAATCAAGGTCGAAGTGAAGACTTTACTAACATTTGATTTATAGAAAATAAAACTAAAATATACGTGTTTTTACTTTGTAAAAATAATTTTTTATTATTATTTTCTATGATAAATATAGTAAAAATTATTAAAATAAAATAAATAAAAATTATGTTGCAGACCAAGTAATAGTAATATATAATATATGACATTACTAGTTATTTTTTTCTTATAAAATATAATACATTAGTTTTCCATTTCTTCTCACCATCTTAAAAAATATATTTTTCTTATAATAATGAGACATCGATTTGGGACAATCCTTTTGTTTTTTTCTTCATTTTTCATGCTTTCAACTGCGATTTTTAGATTTTTTTTTAGCAATTTACTTTTGACTAAAATAAATTTTTAATTATTTTTATATCTATTAGTAGTATATTTCTTCACTGCTTTTTCATGTTTTGATTATGGAATGAAAGGAAAAAATTATGAACCTGAAAATCTAAAAACAGATTTGAAAACCCATCAAATCTGCCTTTCAAATTAATTTAAGAACCCAACATATCTGCATTTAAGATTAGAAGTTTGTAAATTTCAAAAACAGATTTTAGAAAAGATTTTTATTTTTAACTAGATTCACTAAGTCAACACGGAAAAGTACTATACCAACTAATATGTAAATGAATAAGCTATCGAATAAAATAAAATAAAATAAAGTACTATCTAAATTTTGAAAATGAAGTGAAAAAGACCAATATCATTTTAAATTATTTTTTTTTTATTATTCATCAAAGATGGCTGATACAACTCCAAATATCATACTTCTTACTATGATATATATATATATATATCAAATTTTTATAATATTAAGTTTATTACAATTGGAATGATATAATTATTTTTTTATGATAAAAATATTAACTCATATTTTTAATATATTATGACTATATCCACTAAAGAAATATTATCGTCACAAAATGTTATTTTACTCTAAAAACATAACACTCAAACAATACAAGTTCATAACATATAAATATATATGATATATGATATATTTAAAAATATTGGGATCAAAGTGAGAACATGACATGTTATGCACCACAATAGTCTTCTAACGAATATCCAATCTTCTGCTCCGCATAATAAACAACCTATTTAAGGAAGTTGTGATGATCAAGTGGCTTGTATCGCAAAGGATTTTTGTCGTCAACAAGCTCATCTGGCACACAAATCACCCCTTCATTGAACATATACAATCCAATTATATACCTTTCTTTGTCTCCATTAGCTATGACTCAATGAAGAGTCGGATGCATTCTGCCATTACTCCATGTTTAATTCATTTTAATCCAAAGATAAAATATAAACATTACCACTATGACTCCTTTCTCTAGTGATTGATTTTTTTTCTCCAGCGAAAAATTACCGACTAGGGTTTGGGTTCGGTG